TATCCATATTAGACAGAACTGAACGACGACAGCGAACAAGAGGGAGAATGCGAGCGGTGTGCGCTCAGATGCTGCCGCTCTCAGCGCCGTCAAAATAAAAGCCCCGCCTCGAACGCACATCCGCCAAACGGAAACTTATCGGCCGATGCCGATATTTGAAAAATGCCAAATATCGGCCGATATATCGGCCTTGGCAATATATCGGTCGACCACTGGTGCCTTTACTCTTGTCATTCCCACTATCTGTGGGGAGGAATACAGAATGCAGAAGTTCGAACTATAATTTTAATAGAAACCATTGATCTGTCAAAAGTCCCACGGGTAATGCAAAATGGTGCATTTTTCGTTATCCGGTAGACTTTTGCTGACAAACAAATGGTGATATCTGGGTCCAGGTTACACAGAGAAAGAGTACATGTGCATTTACATATGCTACTGGCATTACAACAATACAAAGCTGGTTAAAAATAAGCAAACTCGTGCTTTAAAGGGATTATTCAACCAAATATGAAAATTGTCATCAGTTACTCATCCTCGTGTTGTTCCAAACCTGTATGAATTTCTTTCTTCTGGTGAACACAAAATGATTTTGAAGAATGTTTCTGGTAACCAAACAGTTGCTGGTCCCCTTTGACTTCTATAGTATGATAAAAATACTGTGGAATTCAGTGGCAAATCAGCAACTGTTTGGTTACCAACATTCTTCAAAATATCTTTCTTTTTTTTTAATCTTTTTAAAATTTATTTCAACTAATTATTGTATATCTCAAATTTAGTCATTCCGTTTTATTTTTTTTTAATAAAAATAATTCAGAATAATATTTTTTTTTTTCAACCAAACAGCCTTTGTTGCAAAGTAGATTTAAAAGCTGCTTTTGAATCACCGTCAGACCAAACCCTTCTCACTACATGCCGTGCTGAACGAATCTCAAATGGAAATATGACGAAACCGTTCCTTACCTTACTATTCTTAGAACCGTTCAGTTTCACAAAATGAACACAATGAAATATTGAATCGTTTTTGTTTTTATTTACACTTAAAATAAGGTGAGCAGCTGTAGTTACCTACACATAATAGAGAGTTCTGTAAACATTTTTAGTAATGACTCAAATTGTTGAAGTAAATCAAAGTCATCGATTTTTGAATGGGTTAATTGAAAGCAACAGCATGTACTCATTGTGAAAACTGATTGTCTGGCAGCTCTACTCACTGTGCTCTCGGTTCTGTAGATCCTGAAGCGTGTGCACAACAGTGTGATTTGGCTGCTGCGCTTCCCGGCCGTGGGTGAGCCCAATATCCAACAGTACGCTCAGAACCTGGGCCTGCCTGCCTCTCGCATCATCTTCTCCCCCGTGGCTCCCAAAGAGGAGCATGTGCGACGTGGACAGCTGGCTGATGTGTGCCTGGACACGCCGCTCTGTAACGGACACACCACAGGCATGGATGTGCTGTGGGCTGGTACCCCCATGGTTACTATGCCAGGTAATACAAGCTAGGAGCACACGCTAAACATGGTCAAAAATATTGTGCCTCTTAATTTACAGGCATCAACTAGCAGTGCTGGGTAGATTACTTACAAATTGTAGTCTGTTACTGATTCCAAATTACATGACGAAAATTGTAGTTCGTCAAGTCACCTTTATTTATGTAGCGCTTTTAACAATACAGATTGTGTCAAATAGGTGTGTGGGATATGACGATAAAAATGTCTCGACGATATGCTTTTGGAGAAATATCGTAGTATCGTGCTACAGAGCACATTCTATCAGCTGCAGTTCTGACGCCTCTATCTCAATATACTGTACAACGCCACATACATTCACATCAGTGTTAACTCAGTGGTTGAGTTGCTCTCACGGGACACGGCACTTATTCACAATCACAAAAGTACATTATTTGCATCTACTTTAAAGCCTTGCCAGTTAAACATTTCATTCGCGCGCTCTTCTGACGTGCACTATTTCTGAGAGCATACACCGGAAGTGCGCGCTCTAGCCTGTCAACAACAGCCCCTGATTACTGAACTAAGTTATCTTTTGCGCTAATACTGTAAAAAAACACAAGGTTACATATAGACTCAGTTATGTCTAAAATGAAAGTAAACCGTTGAGAGAAAAACGGATGCGTGCAGCTCTTAAAGCGACAGTACTAAACTTGCTGCCGACTGTCATTAAAAGGGTTGGTTCTCCCTAAAAATTAATTTTTGTCATTATTTAGCCATTCACATGTTATCCCAAACCTATATTTCTTTCTTTCTTGTGCTGAACACAAAAGAAGATATTTTGAAGAATATGGGTAACCACAAAGTTGATGGTCCACATTGAATTTGATAGTAGGAAAAAAAGACTATGGAATACTATTTTCCACGTTCTTCAAAATAGCTTTTATGTTCAGCAGAAGAAAGAAACTCATTCAGGTTTAAAACAACTTTTGAGTGAGTGAATGATGGTCTAAAAATAAAACACTATGACAGAATTGACAGACAGATGAAAGAATTTTTATTTTTGGGTGAACTATTCCTTTAATATTAATAAAACAACAAAACGCAAAGAGAAAAATCACTCACTAGCCTACTCTTGACTGAAAAACTTTAATACAGTTGCTTTAATAGGAATCAATCTATATAGTGTTTTATTTTGATATTTGTTCATTCAATTTCTTAAATGCTACTGCTAAATACACCTATTGTACCTGAAAATAAAGCACTGTTTGTTTTATTTGTATATTATGTGTATTTGTAATGTGTATCTTTGTTCTTATTTTTTAATAACAAAGATAAAATAATGACAAAGATTTTTATCTTCACCCACTTTGGCCCAAATATCCGCCATTCTTTTTTTATACTTTGTTACCTTGAAAGGCTTTGTTTTTATAATAGGGAAATTAGTTTGGCTGTAATGCTCAGACAACTTGGTTAAAATAGTAAACCAACATGACAAAAGAATCGTGATATTTCAAAAAAAAAATTGTGATATGATATTTTTGCCATATTGCCCACCCCTAGTGTCAAAGTAGCTTTACAGTATTAAATTGGAAAAATAGTGTGTAATAATGCAAAAGAACAACAGTAAACACTCAATTTTCGGTTAAAGTTAGTAACGTAATCCATTACATTTAGGGCCGTTGCGATTCGTCTATTTTATTCGACTACTATACGATTTTTAGAAATTCTCGACTTCATTTTGCTTGCGTCGACTAACCGGCAAAAATCTACGCAAACACAGGAGAATACATCGCGGTTTCAAAATAAAAGCTCAAACCCTCACTCTGAGTTTACATGTTTTGATGTCCACATATTCATTTAATTACGGTGGCTGTAGCATTTCTGTCCTAAAGAAATGGCCAAATATTGAAGATTAAGTGGACATTTTAATGAAATGGTGTTTGGTCAATATTAAACAAGTATTAGATCGCACTCTTCATTTTGATGAATTGAGATCTTTTAGACTTGTGGCTAACCAAGTAATATTTATAGACCTTTTTCACATTTCCGGGTTTCTCAGCAGCGGAAGTCGTCATAGTTGGGTAAACTTTGAGAGCAGCGAATGGGAGAGTACCACAAATATATTTTTTTGCATTCCCATTTGCTCAGATAGCAAAAGAAAATCTCAACGATAGTGTTTTCACGGCTTTTGAATAAAAGAAAAAAATTGAGAGAGACTGATAACGGCAGTCAGAAGAGAGAACGATGTCAAATTTGCCGTCCCTCCCATAGACGCTGCATTAGAAACACCATTAACTAGTTTTTTTTGTAGTTTCATGTAAAGGTGATATAATACAAAGTATAGTGTTTTAAATGTACATACATTTAAAAAAAATCTAAATATAAAAAACTTTTATGAATGCTGATGACCGTTGAAACGCGCCGTCACAGTCTTGAGAAAAAGGGTCCATTAAAACAGTAACTCAAAAGATCTTCTTTACAACTCGCCAAAATAAAAGTTGGTTCTAAAAACAATAATAAGTAAGGAATAATTGATGACGGGTCATTGAATTCTTAGAAAATAATGTCGGGTGTGCATTCAAGTCGCTTATACTACTGCTACCACACCTCAAGACATCGATCAGATGATATATTTCAAGGCATTTGTCCGGGTTTTGTACTTAAAACGCTATTGTAAGTAGTAGGGGTGCTCCGATTGATCTGCTACCGATCACTATCAGCCGATAATTGCTTTGGGATGATTGATCGGCGGTCTCTATAAAGGCCGATCTCAAAAAAACGATCTCAAGCTGATGATACGCCTGCCGTCAAAGGTTTGGCACGACATGTAGTGGCACCGTCTCAGTCTCTGTCCGGCGCGGGTGAAATAATTATAATGCTGAAGGTGAGGTACTCATATTTCTTCATTAAATAACTTGTAAAGTAATTTGAAAACCTTGTGTGAGACGTAATTTCACAAACAGCGAGAGTGAATCACCGCTCTCTCTCTCTCTCTATCTCTCTATCTCTATCTCTCTATCTCTCTCTCTCTCTATCTCTCTCTCTCTCTCTATCTCTATCTCTCTATCTATCTATCTATCTCTCTATCTCTCTCTCTATCTATCTATCTATCTATCTATCTGTCTGTCT